ATTCTGACGATCTCAGGCAAGGAGGTGGATCGTGTGGTCAGTTGCCGCGCTGGACAATCAACATCTCATCATGATAAATCAATCCATCTATGTAGGGAAAGTTCATCATCTCCACACTATGCACATTGGGCAGCACTAACCAAGGTAGCACCTCTAGTGGTCGTCTGAGTGTTGCTAAGCAGCAATGTAAACATCGCCTTTTCTTTAAAGAGTCAGTGTTTACATTAACTGCCTGCAGGAACATACTGTACACACTACAGCTTAACTACATTAACCCCTTAAGGACCAAACTTCTGGAATAAAAGGGAATCATGACATGTCACACATGTCATGTGTCCTTAAGGGGTTAAGGACCAAACTTCTGGAATAAAAGGGAATCGTGACATGTCACACATGTCATGTGTCCTTAAGGGGTTAAGCTGTAGTTGTTCTGGTGAATATAGTGTCCCTTAAAGTATGTGATTATTTTTGCATTAGAAATATTAAACCTGTAACACATCTGTATTCTTATCTTAGGAAGAAAAGAATATGTGAATATTATGCCAAAGCATTGGGTACAGAGGAAGCATTGCATGTAAGAGATAAGTCTATTATATATTAATGTATTATTAACTATATTTGTAAATGTGTTTGGGACATACTGTTTAACTCTTTTTGTTCCAATGAACTGCTGTCTGTGTTATTGCAATACAGTAACATCCCACCCACAGATATTGCTTTATTAAATAGTAAATGATCTTGACAACCATATCACAATAGAGTAAAGTGTCTGATTATACATAGGTCCCTACATTTCAAATGGCCAAAGGAGAACTCAGACTTTAGGTAGTGTGGGTAAAAGTGAGGCCAGATTTGAGAAACAATGATATAATAAAAATGTAATATAAGCCTAGATGGAAGTATTTTTGCAGACTCATTTCTAAAAACATTTTTAGATAAAAGTCAAATTATCGTGGAGTTTTACTATAGATACTGTGAAATATTACTGTTGAATTGTTTTGAGTATTGTTATAGGGCAGGGCTGGGGAACCTTCGGCACTCCAGATGTTGTCGACTACATCTCCCATAATGCTCTTACACCCATAATTCTGGCAAAGCATCATGGGAGGTGTAGTCCAAAACATCTGGAGTGCCAAAGGTTGCCTATGCCTGTTATAGGGTCACTGAAATAAACAATGAACAATTGGATCTTCTAGAAAAGAGGGACACTAGTAGAACAAAGGGATTAGGGTCCAAAATCAAAACTCTTCCTGGTAAATGTGGTCACTTGGTGCATTCTCCAAGATCTATTTCCAAGAAAATCCCACTAGTGAGGTCACCTCAGTGTCAATATGCTTAGTGTATATGGCAATAATTAGGCTAATCTTCATAAAATTAATTAAAACAAAAAACATCTCAAATAAAAGGAGTAGTTCAAACCTCTAATTGCTTTAATTAATCTCAACCTATCGAAGCCTAAACGATTGTTGGCTAGATCCATAGCCAAGATATATACAGTATGCCACCTGTCTTATTCAGGATATTGCTTGAAAATACTTAAAAATGTATGCAGAATAATAAAACTGTCAGGCTTTAAATACAAAGGCTCCAATTAAAAAAAATTCTTAGAATATTGGTGAAATATTTGGTATAAGTTTTTTAAAGCATTACTGGATTACCCAGGGACAACCTTTGCAGCCTACTCACCGTAGTTATAAGGACTTGCTTCTTAGACCTATGATGAAATTAAATTGACATTTTCAAGTCTTTCTTGATACTGCTGAAGGGTCCTGATTATTTGCTCTATTCATCTCATCTGGATGCTCTACTCGGAACATTGGATAATAGTTTTGTCTTTGTCTTTGTCTCTGTACAGTACTAAGGGCTCATATTGGATTTTATATTTATTTTATATTGCTTTAGTTAACCTCCAGTGGTATTGTTGTCTCATGCATTACTGAAACACCGTTTTAGAATGGAGTAATCTTGGCTGGCATGGTCTCCTCTGTAAAAAGAAAAAAGATAGATAAAGCAAAAAAAACTTACCTTAGATCCCATGCTAAGGCCTGGTACTCCGAAAGTGAAATCACTCCCCTTCACTGTAGGGAGATGGACATTCCTGAGGACTAGCTGAGGTTACGAATGGGTAGCAACGGCTAGCTCTGCCACCATCGGTCGCTTGTCGCCAGCATGTTATTTGTGCTGATGACAGATGCCCAATATGCACAGAATTAACATTAGCCAGCCTGGAACTCTTACTCCGGACTGGCTAATGACATTTATGGAGGTGAAATTACACCTCTGCATGCACAAAGTTAAAGCACTTTGCTGATATTGTTTCTTACTGAAAGTCTGCAGAAAAAAACTCCAAGCACTATGAACACTTCAAAACACTGAAGTGATTATGGTAACCCTTATTTACATGTATATGCAGTTTAGCCATTGTGATGGACCGTCTCGCACCCCGACTGGGTACCTCCGTCAGTCGCTGCTCCCTAGTGCTGACCGAGTACTTCAGGTCACTCCACAAGACACCATTAGCACCGTAAAACCCACAAACCACCGCAGCTTGGTTGGGGATCTCACCGTCCTCCACCCATCCTGGACCCAAGACCAGGATCCAGCTTCCAGTGGGTGAACCTCTCTTACTCCAGAGAATATAGCAGGAACAGCTCTTATAAGATTATACCCAGGGGAGTATTGTGATATAGCAATCCCCAGAGTGTAACTATAGCTCTCCAATCCCCCAAACATGAGCCTAGACTTTATGAAGGGTAAAACGAATCTCACTTTAATGGTAGTCACAACTGGCCTTTTATGACAGGCCCCATGCAAGGGGCACTCCCCCTGGACCTGAGAGTAAACCACAGTAGAAATAAATACACAATAACATTGGCTCTCAGGTCCAGGACACTCCCATAAAAAAATCAGATTATCCCTCCTCTGTGCCTGGGAGATAATTGGTTCAGGTACTGTACTAATCTAATCCAATTATCTCCAAGCACAGAAAAAACACACCTTTTCCCAAACACCCCAAAATTACCCTAAAAATACATAAACCCCCCCTGATTTACATCCCCTGATAGCCCTGATCTGGCTGACCAACATATCCAAAAATCACCCAGATCAGTTCAGGGGTTCGGGAATTTCCTGGAAGTCTTAATTTTTGACCGACCGCCAGCATGATCCCTTGCTGAAAACAGTTCCAGAGAATTAGGGCTAACGATTGGTCCCTCTGTCAGAAGTAAAAAGTACATGAACAGAGCCTCTTAAAGTGCATTGGGCAAGGTATGTTGCAGGGCCCATAGTCCTGAGGCAAGAGGCTGGCCAGCAGGCCCCTCCAAGAACCCATGACGAGGTTCAGTTTGTCACAGCCATCCTTTATTTATATAGTGTACAATAAAGCAGATGAGTTTTAAAATAATTCTAAATATGACATGAAATCAAACATATCAAGTGTTCCTTCTAGAAAGGCTCCAGGGCCAAATGATTTACCCAATTCCCACTATGATGCCACACCTTGTACATTTACTTTCCCACTGTGTTTTTTTTTTCTTAAAAGTCCTTTCACAACTGAATTAATATTGTAACACTATGGAAACCCGAAAAGCTACCTAGTCACAGTATTTAGGTCTATCTCATTAGTGAGCAAGGATACAAATGCTATACTTAAATACACGTGAACTGCCTGATTAATTGTTCCATTTATTTATAGGTTGAGACGCTGCCAACTACCCAGCATTCAAATTTCTAGAGGGAATAAATATTTTGGAAACCTGGATGAGACAGTCCTGTCACAAGACAAATTCTAAATAGAGTAGCCATCACATTCAAGTTCTTAATTACAGTCAAAAAGTATTAGGTTTAAAGTCTCATTTATTTGTAAAGCGACAAAAATTATTTAGGTATACTCCAAGAGAAAATCCCTATTATGCAAGTTTGCAAACACAAGGAGTTAAAAATTTTATCAAAAAGAACATAAAAATAGAAAAATAAAAAAATAACAGCATCCAAAAAAACACTTTGAGAGATTTAAAGTTCATGTTTACATGGCACAAAAAAAAGAGGTTATGCTATTTCACTATAGGAATGCTCTAATCAGGACGATGTAGTCTTTCTGAATTAGGCGTCCTCTTGGTAGCTGGAAAGGCTAGGCTGCTCACTTGGGAGTTATTCCCTTTGTAGGCCCTAGAGCAGAAACACCACAGGAGCAATAAAATAGAGGCCAATGTCCTTCTACTAATCTTTTCTCAACACCTCATTTTGTTTGCTTTATAAATTACTTTCAGCATAGAGAAATGTCTCCTGTTAGAACTAAGTCCAAGGCAAAGGCTATGGGGATTACTATGGACATAATGACCATGAGTACTTCTAAATCTAAATTGTCCAATGAATAAAGATAAAACAACCTGATATACTTTATAATACCAAGACTTTGAAAATTATGTTTTTTCCAATAACCATAGGAAACTTCCTTAAATAAATAGAAAACCTGAGAATCAGGCAATACAGTATTGCAAAAGTACATATTCTATAAACCATTGTAACATTTCTACACATAATTTCTCAAAATATTTCAGCAGTAATTAAAAAACATTGTATGGGCACATAGAGAGCATTGGTTTTTCATAAATTTGCCACACACCTCATTCACACATTGGCGCTTGGGATTTGCCAAAACTATAAATTACAGTAAAGCCTCCATATTAGCGCAGATAGCAGCAAAGGGAAGCCATCTCTCCAGGGCTGATCTGAGAAAACTATCTTGTATTTTTTTTGTGACATCACTACTCAAAGACAGATGTTTTCAAACCAGTCCTCATGAACCACCAACTGTCCAGGTTTTGTAGAGTATCTTGGAATAAACAAGGGGAATGCATAAACCTTGGACTGTTGGTAGGTCACGAGGACTGGTTTGGAAACCATTGATCTTAGAGGAGTGATGTCCCGAACGGTTCGCCGAACAGTTCGCCACGGACGGCGAACATAAACATAAACTTTGACCCTGTACCTCACAGTCAGCAGACACATTCCAGGCAATCAGCAGCAGACCCTCCCTCCCAGACCCTCCCACCTCCTGGACAGCTCACTAAGAATGCAGGCTCACAATGAATGTAAAATGGATGCTGTCCAGGAGGTGGGAGGGTGTGGGAGGGAGGGTCTGCTGCTGATTGGCTGGAATGTGTCTGCTGACTGTGAGGTACAGGGTCAAAATTTATGTTTATGTTCGCTGTCCGTGGAGAACCGTTCAGTGAACCGTTCGGGACATCACTATCTAAGAGTTATTACCCATTTTCATAAAAAAATTAAGCTCTGTCACTGGGCCAGGTGGTGGAGTGGTGTCTTGCCAGTTCAAAATGTAACTACCACTGTAGACTTAATGGCCACATGTATTATATTGAGTTATACTATGTATTATAATAAGTCAGGTTATGTCATGTTCCGATGAGAAACTAACTTGCTTACTGATGCCGATACATCAGTGATGTTATTGCATTCGAGCCCTTATGGCTCACTATAACTTTTTAATCCTGAATGAGCACGGGATGTATTACATAAATGTATTCCACAGACGACCACGGAAGTGGCCGCACAAAGCTGAGAAGGTGCATACACTACATCCTCATTACTTTGATGCTTAGACATGTTTGCAAGCAAAATGTACCTTACTAACAGTGTTGGTGATCTTGCTCCTATGTGGTACATTATTGAGGTACAAATCTGTAAACTGAGTTGTTGCAAAACAAAAACTTTTACCAATGTAAACAAAACATGGGGAAAAAATAAGCTCTGTCACTGACATAGCAAGAAAATAAAAACTTTGTTGCTACCAGCCACTGCCCTGATAGCTGTGGTTAATTGGCTAGTGGCATGAGGCTGGTTGTGGTGGCTTCTAACTGAGTTTGAGTACCTACAACCTCATTAACAGGTTGCTGTCAGTGCAAAACATTATAAATGTGAAAGGTAAGGGCAGGCTTACATACAGAGGCAAAGGTTATAAAGTAAAACCTGAATGGCTCATTATGTTTGAACCAAAAGTATCTGATTGTTATGTGAAATGTTTTATACGTCATGAAAATAATGACCCTTTGCCTTATTGATTGACAGCCGATACATTACGAGGAGAAGAACTGGTGTGAAGAGCAATATTCTGGAGGATGTTACACTGCCTATTTCCCTCCAGGAGTCATGACTCAGTACGGAAGGTAATATAAAATTGGTTACATTTGGTGCAAGAAATTAGGTATCACACAAAAAGATTATAGGTGACTGCAGTACCTAAAATGTTTAGAGAATGTAACCCACTGCTGTTACATTGGGTTACAGAACATTGATAGCTCAATTCAGTGGACATTAATGACACAAATCAATGACAAATAATGAAATCCTGTTTTTTAATAGAGCTATAAATAACAAAAAGTGCAAGAGTTACAGGCTACATGCCTTTTCTCAGTGCCCCTCAATGCACAGGGGGCACTGTACTTTGAGAAAGGGCACGTGGATCCAGGTTTGTACTTTCTGTGATTTAAACCTCCATTAAAATCCAGGTTGGCATTAGTGCACATGCAATATCCATCCTGCATTTGAACTCCTTTTCTTCTTACATTTAAATTCTTACATGCCATTTCCTACACACTAGGGTTGACACTCTGATAAGACAAATGGAGCCAGAATATCCACCTCTATTACGCATGGCGGGTACACATATTTCTATATACACACATAAACTCAGACACAATATTCAAATACTGCCACACACTCAGACACAGTATGGACACACTGCTATGCATACAGTTAGACAACGTTTACACACAATGACACACTGCTACACACAAACACACTCAGACTATATATACATTGACACGTGCTGCTAAACACTGTACACACTCAATGACACAATACTACACACACTCAGACACATTATACACAAATTAGCAAACTGCCACAAACACACAGTATACACAATGACACACTGCTATACACATACACACCCAGAAACCCAGAAATAGTATACACCTACAGTTACACAGTTATACACGCATAGACATTGGGCACAAATTGTAGGGAATATTTCCTTCCAAATGTATTTCTCTTTTTATATTGTCACTCCCTGTATTGTTATGCAACAGTAAGGTGATGTCATGTACTGTGAAATCTTCAAGAATTCCCAGAAAAATTAAATGTTTTAACCAAAACAAAATTAACAAAACTCTCCAATACTATTCAACTTAAAGGGACACTAAATCTATGTTCCTAACACTATAGTGTCCTGGTGGTCGTTTAGTTTATTGGCCTCCACCTGCAGGGAGTAATAAAGTACTTTTACTTACCTTTTCTCCTTTGCAATGATGGTCTCCGTAGCTGGCCCCACTTCCTTGCCTGAAATCATCAAGATTCATTACTTTAGCCAATCCTTTGCTTTCCCATAGGTAAGCATTGGGAGGCCAGTGCGCATGTGCAGCAAAGCGCAAAGCGCTGCACTACACTGATCAGATAGTCTGCAATATCTAGTGGCTGTGTGAGTGATTTTAACTCTGCATGGCACCCAGAACGCTTGATTGACATGAGTCTCTTTAAGAACTCTCTTCACTTTATTTTGGTATTTTAAAACACAATATTTGCCTGTGTACTGTGAGCATGTTTGAACCTTTATTTTTTTTTCTTTAAACACAAACAACAGATCATCAGAAGGGGATCTAAAGTGTGTCAACTATGTTTCTGCATTTGTCAAAATTAACCCCTTAAGGACACACGACGGAAATATTCCGTCATGATTCCCTTTTATTTCAGAAGTTGTGTCCTTAAGGGGTTAAATCCTTTTTGAAAGAAACATTCCAAGCACCAGCTCACTGTAGACAGGTTTAATGGCCAGCGCAATATTGCATAAAGATAGTACACATACTTTTTAGGTGGAAAATAAAAATATGTAAAGTACAGAATAACAGTGGTGAAAATATAAATATTACAATATATAGACACATAAAGACTAAACATTGGCAGGGCAATGTGCATCTATAAAAACAGTATGTATGGCGCTTAGTACAAGTAAATATTTGCTTTTCTCAGATAGAAAGATTGACAACATACTGACCTGTGCAGTCAAAGACTGACCACATATACTGCTTTGTACAGATATAAAGACCGACCATATCGGCTGCAAAGTTCAGATTTATTTTCCCTTTTTCTTCCTGTCCTCCTGACAGAATAACAGTTCTCCCATTGATATCTGATTGCTATTCAGTTAACCGAGACATGCCTTTCCGTTATCCAGCCCAATAACTGTGTTCTTCTACCCTCAGCTAAACATTTCACATATTAAAGATCTCCCTTTGGATCTGTCATTTCAGATTTTTGACACACCAGGTGTGCAGTAAGTTAACTCTAGAAGGAGGATATTCAATTGTTTCTATCATAACTAAATAAATAAAAATCTCTCTTATTCTTCTGTTACTATGCATTATTGTCAGCATTTGTACATGTTATTTTCCTAATGAACTGAAACTGTAAATTAACTAGTCAAGAAAATGTCATACTACATGATTGTAACCATTATAAAAAAGTTAAACGTGCCATATGGTTTGCTTCTCTCCTGACACTGTTAGCAAAGTATTTGAACATGATGCCTAAATTCTGATGTGCCTCTCTTGATATCAATAAATGATAGTAGCTAGAATTACAGCTATAATTCTCTATTATACATGTAGCTATCTGCTCATTCTTTGGAGAAAACTAATAGCAAAGGATCAGTAATGCTATGCATTGTGAATCAACAAACTAACTGTCTCTCTTATACTTCATTTCTACACTGCTACCTAATCTCCTTTGTCAAAAGTGTCATCCGTGAGCCGGTGGGAAAGCTGTACTTTGCCGGTACTGAGACTGCAACGCAGTGGAGTGGATATATGGAAGGAGCTGTGCAGGCTGGGGAGAGAGCTGCCAGAGAAGTAAGAAAGCATTTTATACGGCTGTCAGTATGACACTTTATTGCAGTGGGAAATGTAACTAAGAGTAGCAAGTTGTCATGTTCTTTTTCTTTTTTCAAATATTTGTTTTATTTATGGTATTCTTATGTTATAATAAGTGAGATATATTGCGTGATAACAGAATGATTGTAAACTTTTAATAATAATTTACCTTTTCTTATTAATTGTCTAAATTCATAGACCTCTGGCTGGTCTGTCATTGGAGCATGCATAGTGAGTGGAGAGTCTAGGGATATGTGTTCCAATCACAGACTGAGCAGAGCAGGTTACAGAGCCTTATATTGTGCCATTAACCCTTTTAGCTATGCTACAATATTGATAGGTGGTCATATTGGAGGTTAGAAGAGACACCATAGAATGAAGGGAGATAAGAGATGTACATAGGAAGTAATGGAGGGTTATGAGATGCATAGAGGGAGGTTATGAGCAAAAAACAGAGGTTAAGGGGTAATTAGAAACAACACACAAGGGTTTGAGTAGGATGCAGAGAGCGGTGGATTTTATGTCTGCTGTTATGTAAGTGATACCCAAGTGTGCAGCTCATTCTGTGTACCTTTATTGAAGAGTCAGCTTACCTCAGCAAAATGTGCTCCTTACAGCATGCTAATTATATTATAGCGACATAGTAATACTGGCTCATCTACTGTCCCATTTCCTTTAGTTTTGTTGATTCAGAAATGTACAGTTTATTGTAATGTCATGTAGGGCTATGCTCCCACTACATGGCTTTGTTGGTTAAATCTTACTGTGCTTTTTTAAAATTAGTTTTTTTTAAATAAGTGATTTATGTTCTATATCCCTGTTACCTACTTAACCATCAGTTGTAATAATCACAGTAATACCTATGTAATAAGTGTCAAATGTTGAAGGTGTGTTTTTTTTTCTTTCCTCTTGCCTGCATATTGTATATATTTAATGGTACACTGCAATACAAGATTGGTAGTTTAATAGTTATGTCTGTGTGAATTGCTTTTATGTTTCTTGTTTGCTGCTGGAATTAGATTAATTGTAGGAATTTGGACTGATTGCCTACACTCAAATCATAGGAGTCGCAAAACTGTAATTACCTTCAATATCCCACTGTGGTTTCTGAGTGTACATTTTTTTTCCATGCAAACTATTTTTTTTTTTTTTTAGTATGTAAAATAAAATTACCGAAACACTTCAAGCACCATAACTACTGCAGCTGTAATATATTTTGAGGA